GAGAATGATGAAAAAGAAAATGATTCAATGCAAAGAGGGACAAAAGAAGGAGATGCTGAGCTCAACTTACACAGCACTGGACAAAGAAGTGAAGAAGAGTGCTAGGAAGGACAAAAGACAATTCTACGACAATCTGGCCACTGAAGCTGAGAAGACAGCAGGCAAAAGGAACCTGAGGACACTATATCAGATAACCAAGTCTCTATCCGGGAAGAGATCAACACAAGTGAAACCTATAAAAGACAGCCAATGGAACCCAATTACCAAAGAAGAAAGACAGATTAAACAATGGGCGGATCACTTCAAAGGACTCTTGAACCGACCACCACCTGCAACCCGTCCAGAAATACCAACAACAGCACGTACTCAGCTGCAAGAGTTAAAACAGTATGGACTAACGTGGATGGAAGTGAAAAGTACAGCAGAAAACAGAAGAAAGTGGAGACGTGCAGTTGAAGTCCTATGTTCCACTAGGAACCCAAGGGAACAATAATAATAATATAATAATATATATGTTGAAGTTTCTCTAACGGTTTGAAAGATTTAGTGGTGTGGGGTTTCTAACCTCACGCCCAACCCTCCCTCTTTACCTGGGGCTTGGGACCTGCTAGAAAACTAGCTAACTAAATATTTAACTAGGAGGGGTTGAAGAGTTCATTTCCAGATGTGAATTTCTTCCAAAAGATATTCGGGACGGATAATCGAACAACGACGCGTAAAATTCAGAAACACCGGATTTATCTAAAATACTGTACTATATTGAATATAAAATAATGAAATAATAATATACAAACCTCAATCATGAGGTGTCTGTGGCTGAATGCCTGTTTTTTTTAAAATAAAAGCACAATCGATGTGCAGGAATAAGAAAAAACAGAGGTGACCCACGCGTAGATTTAAACATCGCACCAATGCCAGACACGGAATTAAAAAGATACGAATAAACAATATTCAACAGCAACGGGTACATAAATAAAGCATATACAACAGATAATCCTCAACTATAAGAAATGAATTACTGTACATAAAATAGAGCATAAATACTTGAAGTGAGATGAAATTCAGTAGCAAACAAAGTCGTATTTAATTAGTAAGATTTATAACTCAAACTACTTACTATTAGTAAGTAGTACAAAGTTTAACACAGAAGAAAGAATAGCAAAGGACAGATAAGAAAGGAATTGATAACATAGATGTATAATTATTACTATCACTGATGCCAGTATTCTATCGGAGCGGAACATACAATTTCAACAGCACGTTTCTGTCGCTCTTGATCCGACGCAATTAATCTCTCTTTACTTATTCCACGATTGCCCACAAGATAGCATTTCCACTTCACATGATCGTCTCCATATTATCTTTGGACACAGTCAACTCGCTTCCTATTCGAGTTTCACCTAAACGGTCTCTCTGGCGTGTCATGTTGATTGGATGTCTCCTTAGTGCGTGCTCACTTTTCATCTCCACTTCTTAAGGGTATGTCTCATTCCCCACAAACTGGATGATATGCAAGTGAAAAGCAACAAGTTGGCAGAAAAGGCATCCAGTGAAGATAGAACTTCCTTCAGGTGAACATAGAGAAAACAGATGTGGTGATGAAGATTCCTGACCAACAGCAACAACAAATGCAACTACAACAGACAACAATCAGCATAAATGGGAGAAATCTGGAAAAAGCAACCTCCTCTATTTACCTACCTATATGGGAAGCATCATTTCAACGACTGCCGGACAGAACTGACGACGATATGAAAGCGAGGATCGGGAAAGCAAGTCAAGCTTTCATTACTCTCAAGTCTGTGGGGAGATCAACAGCACTCAGCATGAAAATGAAAATAAGATCCGGATTTTCAACTTCAATGTGAAGTCAGTGTTACTATACGGATCAGAGACTTGGCGCCGCGCCGCGTCACGAAGGCCACTTCAAACAAACTACACACCTTCACTACACATCAACAGCTGTCTTCACTCAATACCACTCAAGATCAGATGCCTGGCCAGAAAAGATCAACAATAATGAGGGATCTCTGGCAATGAGCGAATCAACTAAGCAGGAACCAATTGTGCAACAAATATGCAGGAAGAAATGGAGGTGGATTGGCTTGGCCACACTCTGAGAAAACCATCAAGTGACATCACACACCAGGCCACGGCGAGTTGGTCGTCATTGAGCAGGTGACATGGAGGAGGTGATGTGAAGAAGAGATGAAGGCATGTGATCAGACGTGGAGCCAGGTGAAAAGGTTGGCTGAGAAGGCAATGCAATGGAGACGGGTGGCTGAAGCCCTATGTTCCTCTAGGAATTAAAGGAAACAATAACAATATAATTTTTGACGATAATTAGTTTTCCGCTGGTTTTCTCCTAGAATGCCTTGTTACCTTTCCTTACTGACCCCTTATATTTGATCTTCCGTATCAAGTGAAGACATCTATTGATAATGAAAGTCTGCAGCAACCCGTTGTAAATGGTTTCTGGTAATCTGTTGTACGTCAAGTCTTTGAACCATTTAGAAGCCTATATGTACAATATTCTGACTGAAGTAATTTAGGGTTTCATCATGAACTAACATCGGTTAAAGAAGACCATTGAAAAACACTTGAATATCAATCTGATGCTCACCAGTGACTGGCCCTATTCAGTTAGGTAGTTGCCTGGGTTCTATTGGCAAGTCGTGACCAGTGGGATCCATCGACAGGTCGGGTGTGAGGACAGATACTCGCCCGCAATGACATTGGCTAGTGCTAGTCGCGCTATATCGTGATTTGGCAGAAATTGGGATTTATTCAGTGGCATTTGGATCGCCTCCCATTGGCTGATGAATGGTCTACGAGGTCGCCTTGTAACTGGAAGGTCATGGGTTCGAGGACTGGTGGTGGGTGCGTACTGTCAATGACTCCCAAGTATTAGGACGGACAGAACATCTGTGCAGTCATCCCTGGTGGTTTTCAATGGTCCTCTCACCGATGTCACTTCACGATGAAATCCTTTAACCAATCAATCAAATCCCTACAAACCAACACTTGAATATCAAGTAGCTTACTTTTTTGCATGTTAAAGTGAGGAACCATTTGGCAAATGAAATGTTATTAGCAATTGCAGATAAAGAAAGATGAATATATTTCATGTTAGAGGTGAATAAAATAAAATATGATTCTCATAAATATATTTTGAACAGACTGCAGACGTTCGTCAGTACTTACCTTTACTGAATCACTGAAGATTGAATGACCGGCAAGGATAAGTAACAAGGAACTCTTGTAGAGTGAACCCCAGCCAACGACTTATTGTTCAACAAATATACAAAAGGAAATGGATATAAATTAGACCTGGGCTGAGGAGACCTTTAAGTGACATTACACACGCTAGACAAGCTTTCTTCCTAATGGAACTAGAATGGGAAGTGATACGCTTTGGGTGTGTATGTCCGAGGGTGGTGACATGGAGTAGATTATGTGTGGAGGAAATGAAAGCTTGTAGGCATTGGTAGAGTTAATTGATAGCGGTAGCAGAGACTCGAGTGAAATGGAAATGTACCGTTGAAGCCCTATGTTCCTGTCAGGACATTGAAATGCGATAGAACAAAAACTGAAGATCACCACAGAAGAAATGATTGTGCAAGTTCCTCTTGTATGTATATAATGAACTTCACCGCCAGATCATTAGTGTCTCGGGAAATAAGAAGGAATGAAGATGTCTACCTTCATTGGGAGACTTCTCAGCAATCATTTATTGGTTAATTAGTATTATAAGTCATAGTGTAACAACAGAAGACAAAGGCCAGGTAACAGATCGTTTATTAAGGAAAATCAACACGTATTTATAGATTTTAATGTACATCATCGTAGATTATTGTTAGTAGAAAATACAGTCTTTTGATTGGTTGTTTCTCACAGAGAGTTAACCTTGCATCTCTTTGTGGCTGTGTCAGATCATCCATATGCTAACTGTATCCGCCTACGCAAAGCCTTTGTTCTCATTTTCTCACCACCACTACTGGGGACATAAACATTGACGTCAATTGCTGTCTACCAACTTTGGCTAGCAGCCAGCTCTCAACACAATAGCACGTGTAAATTGAATATAATGATGCCTTGTTGTGTGACCTTTGTATCTATCATATTTTTGCAATGTTGGTTTGTGAGAATTGGGTTGATTACGTAATTATTTTTGTCACAAACTGGCAATAATTCAAGTATGCTTGATAATTATGGAGGACTTGTAGAACTCCTTCGTTCTCCTTTGGTATCCAAAATAACTGTCACCCACTATGCCACCTTAGATCAAACCATGAACTTACAGGTAATAAAGAAAGCCAGCCGGTCATTCAATCACATCTGGAATCAAATAATCTGTTAATTCAAGGTTTTATTGATTTGCGATACAGCCACCAGCGACAACCAATGCTGGTGATAAGCATCCGTTTTACACCCGATATGGTGGGGTAACGGTAGGAGACGAAAGGCTTTTTAAAGGAGTATTTATTTGTAATTTGGTATGTGTATATAATGGAATTATGTACACTTTGTCTTCAACATACCAATTGCACAGATCTTCCGAGTGATGTGTGCTACTTCTGACCTTCTTTCATATTGCATATGTGTGTTTCTTTGTGTTCCTTTCACGTCTCCCATGTATCTCCACAACGCTGCATCGTCATTTTTCCTTTTTCTGACATCAAATCTATCTCCCTGCTATTTGATGTGTTTTTATGCCGATAAATATCCCTTTTTATATATATACTACTGATAAATCTTATCAGTAGCACACTTCACAGTGGATTCTACAAGCTATTGGTTTTTTATTATCCCCTCAGTTACTGAAGAACGAGAAATTGATATTCAAGTGTTTGGGTTTTGTGAATATTTCGGTTAATTTAAATTTTGTCAAAAAGAAAAAGTTTCCTTTAAGAGTTAAGTCCTCCTCTCCCGCCCACCCACCCTCGACGTACCGCCATCTCAATTTCTGTTTCGTTATGTTTTGTTTTCCCGCCTTTCAGAATGGTAAACAACCAGTGGATAAACCGAAATTCATACTCTGTTTAACATTTGCTGAAAATGGTGACTTGTTGACTGGTGATTCAGCTGGTAATATTATCGCATGGAAAAGAGGTATAGTTGAAAATGTGAACCATATATTTTATTTGCTTTTATTTCCTCTTATATTGTTTTATTCTGTATTATTCATTAGGCTGTTATTTTAAGCTGATTAAATGTCCTCTGTATTGCCATACAGTTTATGTATATGAGCGTGGTAGAGCATGTTAACCACTTCACTTATTTGGGGAGTTGCATCAACCAATGTCGGCAAGTTGACCACTGACGAAATCTCAGCACGGATACAGGAAGCTCTCTTGGCATTTTCCAAAATCACGCCATCCCTGGATTAGTAGACATGATATCCGGCTGGCTGTCGACCAAAGGACGTGTGTACTGTTTAGCAGTTCGCTCCGTCCTCTTTTATGCCTGTCAATGAGGCACGGCCATTGAAAGTGTTAGACATGAAAAGCCTGGCTAGTTGTCTTTGATCACAGATGGCCACGTTCTATCTCCCATGTTAAGTGGTATAGTAAGGTGAGCAATATTGCGGTTAGACGTCGATCAAGCGCCAGGTGAGGAGGGAGGGGAAATCAATCGACGAGGTAGTGAAGTTACGTTGACTGGGATGGTAAGACATGTGTTACTAATGCATGCCTAGCCATGGCCTTCCTCCACGGACAATGTTAGCTGACATAGGTTGGAAAAGAGCCAGTGGTGGTCAAACAAAAACGTGGCTTCATCAGTCAATGAAATCCACAACAGTTAGCTTCAGCCACCCATGTAGGAAGGTGTAGACTTCTTGGCTGGTTGGGATCCTCGAGACGGTAAAAACCAATGTTTGGAGACATTTGGTGATATGGCTCAAAATCCTCTTTCTCAATGGCTGGCGCAGATGTATCCACTCCTTGTGACTTTTAATTCGCAGTAAAACTATATTGTTCTTCGATATTACTATTCTTTTTGCCTCGTGTCTCTGTTTACTGTCTCTATTTTGCATTTACTTTTACTTTCTTCTCTTGCTTTGTGTACTAAATGGAGGGAGTGTGGTGACCCGAAGTGCTGCACATTGGTGCAAAGTTCTATATGTTGAAACCAGTCAGTCAGTCAGACACACATGATACCAGTTAGTAACTAGTGTTCAATCAAAGTTTATTGGCCACGTTACAAAAATTGATTGATAGAATACAGTCATTACCAACGCTACCACGAACTAGATATAACATTAATTACTCTTTAGGGATTATTATATGCATTCAGGTATACCTGACAAGGGATTATGTAACGATATTGATTAAACACTTTTATAATTAATGTCTTCCTTTTGAGATATGATGAATCTTAATCTTCAGGGTACATTTTAGTTTGATGGTTTTATTAATCCTCCAACTAATCAAAGAAAAAATCCCTACAAAAACCAATACTTGAAAATTAATCTGATGCTCATTAGCGACTGGCCCTATTCAGACAGTTAACCTGAGGTTCTATTGGGAAGCTGTGACCAGTAGTAGGGTACAGCAGGTTGAAGGTGAGGCAGTAACTTATCGAAGAAGACATTGCCAAGTGGTTGCGCTATGTCATGAATTGGTAGAGGTTAGAATTCATGAGCTGGCCCTTGGATCAGGTCCCAGTGGCTGCCTAATGGTCTACGAGCTCACTGGCCTTGTAACCAGAAGGTGCTGGGTTCGAACCCTGGTCGGTGGGTGCGTACTGTAAAGAGTCCCAAACTAGGCTGACAAAACAGCTGTCCAGTACTCCCTGGTGGTTTTCCAATGGTTCTCTAATCGATGTCAGCTCATGATGAAATCCTGCAACTAGTAATGAGTAGTTAAAATGTTTGAAAAAAAGAAACTTACTTTCATTTGAATAACCCCTCATGTCTGGTTTTGATAAATTCTCCTTTCAGGTACAAATACAATTAGTCAAATATGCCAAGGAGTACATGAAGGTGGTATATTCTCACTATGTCTTACAAATAATGGACACCTTATCTCAGGTGGTGGTAAAGATCGTCGTTTAGTGTATTTCGATGCAGCATTGAATCCTACTGGTCATACTCAAGAATTGCCAGAAATGTATGGTGCTGTAAGAACGTTAACTCAAGGTCCTGGAGAATTATTAATTATTGGTACTACTAAGAATATGATATTACAGGTAAGTCAATATTCTACGCCTCAATTTGTATGTCTACTTCTGTTTGACACACAGTGGATTCTTATCTTGATTCCTTGTGACCTTGACCTGGCGGCCTGTTCGAATTTTTTGGCCAGCTATTATAATATCTACATATTGCATCCAATCTACCGTTTACTCACATTTATTTATCACCTAAATATGAATTCTAACAGGATCATTTACTCTCGTAACTTTATTAATCATTTAAGACCGAACAACTTTCATATTCCCAAGAAATCAAGGAGGAAGCATCGTAGTGGTTGGCAGAGAGCTCTCAAACGTATACCAATACATTTAACTATGGTCCCTGTCATAATGAACACAAACTACCGCTCTCTGTCGAACAAGATAATGTACCTACAATCCCTGATGTCCACTGACACTTATCACAATATTGCTATAATCACATTACAAGAAACGTGGTTACATGAACTGTATGATGGCAACCTTATCTCACTATAGGACTTCGTATTATTTAGACAAGACCGTCACTGTTGTTGCAAATTTTATTCACTCCAAATGGTCTGTTTCAAATAATGTTTGCTTCTCATTCTCAAATGACTTCATAGACTGTATTACTATCAAATGTCGTCCCAAACATCTCCCCAAATATAAATATATCTTTGTTACAAACATGTACATTTCTCCTAGTTGCTCACTATCTGATCTTTCAAATTTTGCTGATGAATTCACCATGTTTGCCGCTGCCAACTTCGACAACTCTCTATCTGTTATTACTGGGGACTTCAACTCCTCAGATTGCTCTTTCCTTGAAGCACTTGGTCATACAAACATAGTCAAATTTCCCACTTGACTAGACAAAACACTCGATTTAGTTTTCACAAACGACGAAGGAATATATGAAACACGTAAACGTGCACCGATCCTTAACTCTGATCACTGTATTGTTCGCATTTTACCAAAAATATATAGCAAAACGCATATTATTATAACTAACTGTCACTTGATTTTCTTTTATCCTCCAATAGAGTGTTCCTGGTATGGAAGTCAGTTCTCTAGTATTTGGTCATTGTGAAGAATTCTGGGGCTTAGCGAATCATCCACAAGCTCATCAATTTTTAACTGGTGGTCGTGATCACCTAGTAATTCTATGGGATTCCTTATCAAAACAAGCAATCTGGTCAAAAGAATTCACGGATGCAATCCACTGTGCTGCATTCTATCCTCTCCAGCCATTGACAAATGGTACTATGAGTCCTGAGAATGGTATCGATGATGTGAATAATTTAGACTTCAATGCATCAATGATGAGCTCACATGATTTACTGGTGGTGTTAGGCACTTGTACAGGTCGTTGGTTAGTACTGAATTGTCTTAAACAAGAAATTATTGCTGCACATTCTGACGGTCTTGGTGAACAAATTGAATGCGTCGCCTATTCACCTGGTGAGCTTTGTTTTATTTTTGTAGGTGTTTTTATACAAGTTTTATTTATTAGTCCCTTAGAACTTCAACGGCACATCTTTATTTCATTTTGTTCTTTGCAATCCTTTTATCTGGTTCCGAAAGTGCCCCATCAATTTTCATCTCCTCCTTTCATCATGTCACCCTCAATGACACGCCCAGTTCGGGGGGTTCAGTTTGGCTTCTACTCGATGACTTGGTTAACGAATTATGTTACTCAACAATACCCTCGGTTTATGTCTAGTCCATCTCCATTTCCTTTTGGCATTCTTGTTAGACGAGAAGTTCCTAGTTGGTTCTTCACCCCCCCCCTTTACGCGGCTCTGCGATTGGTCGTAAGCTTTCAATTCCAGTAAATGTACTTTATACATTTATATTTTTATTGAAGAATCACTTCATAAAGACAAGTATTTCTAGTGTGACTCATACAAACAAAAATTGTTTGTTGAGAAATAGTATTAACTAGGGTCTTCATTTTTCTAGGCGAATGTGAGTTGAAAGAGTTAGTTTTTTTTTACTTCTTACTTTAGCTACTTATTTTGTTTTTGAGTAGTCAATTTTTTAAAGTGTAATATTTTCAAAATCATGATATGAATTCTGTATACTAATTTTTTTGACGAACAAAATCTATTGCTATTCAATATGCTTGAGAAGTTTCTGTTGTGTTACTTGAATTGTTGTACAACACCAGTTGTAATTTTTTGTTGGAGCCTGTTTCGAAGTTAGTGTCTAACGAGTAGTTGCACTAAGTTATGGATAAGACATGTATTACGCGTATAAAGTCATCTCCTTCCTCTCCGAACAATGTTAGCTGACATAAGATTGGGTTGGTAAAGAGATAAGAGTGGAGAAATAAAATAACCTGGCACCAATCCACAAAGTCTTCGATTGTTGGGGTGAGGTCATGGGGTTGAGTTCCATATTAGTTTGTTTATTAGATGTAAGACATAGTGAAACACTATTATTTACTGGATGACGCAGTTTCGAACAAACTTTATTGTTCATAATTATATCAATTATAACCACACGACTTCGAAACTTAAGCTTTATAGTTTTCTTTGTCCTCTCCTATTTGTCGTCGTAGGGGTAGTAGAATTTTCCAGATATCTGGGACAGGTGTTGAATCATTTCAATTACACCTATTTGCAGTTGATTCGATTCCGTTATCAATCTCTCCCTGTGACATTAGATTTTAAGACTGTCATCGTATCCCACCCATCCTATTGTATGGTTGTGTGTAATTGCATGTAGTGAGTGCTACAGCTGAACTAATCTAGATTTTGCTAGGTTTTTATACTCGGCTAGTCTGACTGCCTCTGTTCTACTACTTTCACATATGTATTTGACCTAACAATCATCGCAGGCAGGGTATTAGATAAACTAAATTGTTTTGTTTTAAAGGTTCCACAGGACAAAGCTTGTTTCTAATTGAGTTTGTGGGTGGTTTGAATGCCAGCCGCTTTTATTCCTGCCTGCTTCGTTAAGAATTCTGCGTAAGGTTTCCGAGGTTTGTTCTTTGGTTCTTGGTCAGAAATGAGTTCGTTTTGAGTAGTTCTCTCTTCTTTTGTTTTTTGCCGTATAATACGCTTTTGTCTCACATTTGTTTTGATTTAAGTGGAGAAACTGAAGCTTTGTGTTCTACTATCATGGTTATAACGCTGCTGTTTTCAACTAGTTAATTTCAGCTCTTTTCACATCTTTCATTCCTACGAATTCCGTTTGTGATATCACACTTCTTTTATTCCTGTATACACCCTGATTACTACTGGTTCATTTCCTCACCCCTACTCAATTTCTCCCTCAATATTAACAGTTAGGCTTAATGCCAGTTCATCTGTTTCGTAACTCTATAATCTTTTGTGAAGAAAGTTTTACATAAATACGACTGTATACCTAAAGATGAAAATGGAGATCGTCGAAAAGAACCTTTTCGCTTAACTACTTGTCTTTGATGAATGCTTCCCACAAAAATTTCCTTGTTTTTTTTTTTTTTGTTATTATAGATGGAAACTATTTGGCTCTTGGTTCACGTGACAATGTCATCTATGTGTACAGTGTACTAGAACGTGGTTATAAGTATAATCGTGTTGGACGATGTTGTGGGCATACAAGTTTTGTTCTACACATTGATTGGTCTGTAGATAGTCGATATCTACGCTCAGTATCTGGAGATTATGAAATATTGTTTTGGACTGCATTTGATTGTCGACAGGTAAGGTTATAATTGTAGTAGTAATAATAGTGGTGTAGTGTAAAGTTGTGTAGTGCTGTTTGGGGTATTTTGATTTATTCAATTAGATCAGTTAAGTGATATGGTGAACAAAAATTGTGTCTCAGTGGCAGAGATGTATTCACTCTTCGAAATTAATCTCCCAGTTGCATTAAATTCTCAGGGTTTTTCCGCGTTACTCATCTTTCTCCTGAATATTTCAGCTAGTCATAGTTCCTTCGAATCTCTTTTCTCTACCTTATTATTATTATTTATTGTTTCCTTTTATTCAGCCACACGTCTCCATTGCGTTTGGTTCTCTACCAACGTTTTCACCTGGCTCCACATCTGACCACATGCTTTCATCTCCTCTTCACATCACTTCCTCCTCCGTGTCACACTCGCACTGCCGACCAACTCGCTACCTCTCATTCGGGTTCCACTCGAGTGATGGCCTGGCGTGTGATGTCACTCACTTGATGGTTTGTTTTCTCAGAGTATGGCTACGCCAATACACCTCCATTTCTTCCTGCATATTTGTTGCACAATTGGTTCCTGGTTGGTTCACTCCTAGAGATCCCTCCCTGTTGCTAATCTTTTCTGACCATTTGGTATTGAGTAGTATTGGGCGAAGACAGCTGTTAATGAAGGTGTGTAGTTTTTTCGGAGTGTCCTTCGTGACGCGGCGCTAAGTCTCTGATCGGTATAGTGAGCAGCACTGTCTTCACAGTGGAATTGAAAATCCGGATCTTATTTTTCCTCCTGAATTCTGTTGATCGCCACACAGACTTGAGGTTAATGAAAGCATACCTTGCTTTCCTGATCCTCGTTTTGACATCCTCATCAGTTCCGTCCGCCCGTAGTTGAGAGGATACTTCCCTGGTAGATAGGTAGGCAAAGGAGGTTGTTTTTTTTCAGACCCCTCCCATTCATGCTGACTGATTGTTGTCTGTTGTTGTTGCTGTTGCTGTTGGCCAGGAATCTTCATGATCGCCTCTGTTTTCTCTATGTTCACCTGAAGGGAGTCCTATCTTCACTGGATACTTCTTTTGCAAACTTGTTGGTTTTCACTTGCATATCTTCCAGTTTGTGGGAAATCAGACATATATCATTGGCGAAGTCCAGATCTTCCAAGTTCTTTGTGTAGGTCCATTTTATGTCTGTCTCCTCGTTTCCCGCTGTCTGTCGCATTATCCAGTCTAATGCAATCAGGAAAGTCATTGGAGATAGTAGGCAGATAGCTTGTCTTACTACCGTCTTCACTTCTTCGAAGGGTTCCGTGAGTTCCCCTTTGTGGATTACTTGACATGCAGCATTGTCGTACAACTGTTGGATGAGGTATATAATTGTTGGCGACACCCCGTAGTAGCGTGTGTGGTGTTGAATCCATAAATAAAACTTCTGTGATTAACCTCTCTCTCTATTCTGCTAACTATATTACTTTTTAATACTCACACTCTGTCCCGCCCCACGTATTGTATGACAACATGCAAGGGAATGCAATGCAGTGCAATGGCTGAGCTTTTTTCCAGGTTATTTAACTTAACAGGGTCAATTATTCTAGGTGTGGCTAGAAGAATAATCTAGTTGACCCTGATCTACTAGTTTGACTGGCCTATATGACTGACCGCACTAACAGTCAGCATTACATGGTGGGTATTTGGTAAATTATTAAATTATTTTTCTTAATTGGGTCTATTGGGTTCTTAAGCCGACAAAGTTCATCCCTGAGTGTTTATCAGTTGGTTTAAGTGCCACCCTGACTAATTCCCGCCTCATTGAGAATCTCACTACGTAAGGCCTCTGACAACGTTCCTTCTTTATACAGCAGGACTACAGAGGCTTTGAATTCTATATTATTTTCTTCCTTATTTTCCATCATTTTTATTGCTAGTCTTAATTTTTCTATGGTTCTTCACAGCTAAGCGAATGAATGAATGAATTCGCCGCCGAAAAGAGACTCTTCGCTGAACTGCATGTTTTGTTTTCATCTGAAATACGCATATATATACATATATAAATTGAAATACAAGTTCCATTCTCTTCCTTTAAATATATACAGGTCTGTTCGACTGTCATCTTCAACATTGTCTAAATATATATATATATATATATATATATATATATATACATAACGGATACTGGTAAATTATATAAGAGAGTTAAAAAGTTTCACTCAGTTTGGTTGTTGGTTTGTAAAAAGAGAAAGTCATTTTCAAGTATTGATTTTTAGGGATTTTCATTATCGACCAGATGTTCAATGATCGCGCTTCTTATTGCTCCACTACCACCTTTTCGTAACCATTTGTTTGATTGGTTGGAGGATTTCATAATGATAATAATAATAACAGCTTTATTCCAAACAGTATTTGTGGTACAGGTATGAAATTTTCAGCTACCATTACAATATTGCATCTAATTACCTCATACATTTCATTATGGGTAAATTTTATTTTGATAGAGTCTCACAGTGTTATACAGTAATGTTTACTGATGACCAGGTTTCGAGCACAATTTATTGCTCATAATCATATCAAGGTAATCACACGACTTCCTAAATTCATTTATATAGTTCCATTGTTTTTCATTTGATTTTCACTTGATTTGATTGGTAATATTTTCGGGTATGAGTGATGAATCATTCCTATTGCATGTGTTGGGTGTAGATTCGATGAACAAGGATTCAGTAATCAACCTCTCTCTCCACCTACCTAGATTACTTTTTAGAATTTTAACCCTATCCCATCCTATTGTGTGGTTGTGTGCTAATGTATGCATTGCAATTGCTGAGCTTTGATGTGGTTGTGTTCTCTGAGCTGGATAGTTGATTTGCGAAGCTTTCATCACCCTACTAGGTGACATCTTCAGCGCATACTTCAGCGCACCCTTCAAATTGAAGTATGCGCTGAAGATGTCACGTAGTAGGGTGATGAAAGCTTCGCAAATCAACTATCCAGCTCAGAGAACACAACCATATCAAATCATCCACCTGAGCTACAAATCTTCTCTATCATTGCTAATTGCTGAGCTTTTTTCTGAATTACTTATCTTCTATGGGTCAACCATTCTTACCTTAGCTAAATTCTTATATTCTGACAATCTTACTACCCTTGACCTACTAGTTTGACCTATGTAGTTGACTTCACAGTCATTACAGGGTATTTTGTAAATTATATTATTTTGTCTAATTGGGTCCGCTGGGTCCTTTAACCTACAGAGCTTGTCGCTGAGTGAGTTTGTAGGTTTAAATGCCACTCTAATAAAATTAAATATCTTTTAAAATTCATTAGGAAGGTTAAAAAAGGCCAAAATAAAAATAAAGATAATTGTGAAACTAGTAATAATAACATAAATAAGCGAGAATGTAAGTCATCTACAGTTATACCATATAAAGAGGGGACATCTGAGACCCTACGTAGGATTCTTAATAAAGCAGGAATTAGGGTGGCATTCAAACCCTCCTACAAACTCACTCAGCGACAAGCTCTGTAGGTTAAAGGACCCAGCGGACCCAATTAGACAAAATAATATAATTTACAAAATACCCTGTAATGACTGTGAAGTCAATTACATAGGTCAAACTAGTAGGTCAAGGGTAGTCAGATTGTCAGAACATAAGAAATATGGAAAATATTACTACCAATCAAATCAAGTGAAAAACAATGGAACTATATAAATGAATTTAGGAAGTCGTGTGATTACCTTGATATGATTATGAGCAATAAATTGTGCTCGAAACGTCATCAGTAAATATTATTGTATAACGCTGTGAGACTTTATCAAAATAAAATTTACCCATAATGGAATTACACTCTACCACAGTACCCAAGTTTTATTCTTATATCAATGACCTCATAAATTTTATAAGATTTTAAAATCAGAGAGCAACAACAAAACAAAATAAAAAAGAACAGCGTGGCGTTTATATTTTCAAACAATGCACCACAGGATATGAAATATAAAATTTGTGTGTAATAGAAGATGTGAACAACAATATAATAGTAACGAAGAAAGGAAAACAAAAACCATATGCGACTAATTGTTAGAGTGCCGCAGTAAGTTGATCGTGTCATACCTAACGGATTTCTCATATCACATAACAGCTGTGCCAGATAAGGCAGTGTGGAGTTTTTGTATTCGGTAGTCCTTCCTAGCACATAGCCTCCTATAGCTGCTTCTAGTTCTACCCGATGAAATGCAAGGAGAGAGCTGCGTATAGAGAGGATGCTCAGGGTCTGACAATACAGTATTCGCTAGTTTCTTACATGACATTATATGTCTATCCACAATGGTGTTAACCAGTTGGTTTAACGATATCCCACTTGCCCTACTAACGGCTTTTAGTGCCCTTCTCAGCAAAGCAAAATCTTTCTTAAGTAGTCCAGGAAAGATTAATGGGGAGCAGTAAAGAGGGACGGTTAGAATACAAGGGTTGACAAACTGAGAAAGCAAAGACTGCTTTATACCAGACTGCCTTAACTTCCTAACGTAGAACGTTAAGCGAAACATCTTTCTAGTAACTAGCAAGATGTGAGAGGACCAGGAAAGATCGGAGGAAATACTCAGTCCAAGGTACTTGACATTAGATGTAGTTTCAACCTCTATGCCGTCAATGATAGTGGGACCATGTGAGCTAGCTAGTTGTTGTAGGTCACGTTTTCGTCTGAAAGTGAAACTGACTGCCTGACATTTAGACGGATTTAGCTTAAGACCGTTTGAGGAGGACCACTGACTAATTTCCGACAGAAAGTTATTTAATTTGGAACAATCTGACTGAGAGTCAGATTGGAGGATTTCATTGTGAGCTGAAATCAGTTAGAGAACCATTGGAAAACCTGCAGGGAGCACCGGACTATTCAGGCAGTCACCTGGGGTTCTACTGGCAAGCCGTTACCACTAGGGTACAGCAGGTCGAAGGTGAGGACAATTACTCATCAAAGAAGACATTGCTAAGTGATCACATTATGTCGTGATTTAGCAGAGTTTGGAATTCATGGGCTGGCCATTGGATCAAGTCCTAGTGGCTTCCTAGTGGTCTACGAGCTCGCTAGCCTTGTAACCAGAAGGTCCTGGGTTCGAACCCTAGTGAAGAGTCTCGAGCACTAGGACAAAACAGCTGTCCAGTATTCCCTATGGCTGGTTTCAAATGGTTCTCTAACCGATGTCAGCTTATTGTGAAATCCTCCAACCAATCAAACAAAAAACCCCTACAAATCAATACTTGAAAAATTTTTTTCATTCGTATTTTCTTGTTTTACAGTTGTTATTGTTTTATACTGTTATGTTTATGATTATTAATTGTTGACTGGTTGTGTTCTTAATGGGACACATGTCCATTGCATTTGGTTCCTTGTCATCGCTTCCAAGCGGCATGACTCCACAGCTACCGAGAAGTTTTCATTCCCTCTCTTTATGATCTTCTTCAAGTCGTCTTCGAACCCACGCCCAACTCATTGCTTCGCATTCGAGTCTTAGTCGTGGGTGCATCTCGGTTGTGATCTGACTTGAATACTTGTCCAATCCATCTTCTTTTTCTTTCTGCATATCTCTTAGTCGATGAAGTTTTGGTGGTTGGTTCCCTGACAGAGGAATTCCTCTGTTGTCTGCTCTTTCTGATTATCTGAAGTTTTAAAATGAGTTGCAGGTAGGATGACATACCCTATCTATAGTTTTGTTAATTATTATTCCAATATAATGTAATAAAATTTAATAATTTATTGCATCTTTTCTTCTTTTTTCCCTCTTCCAAATCGTATTTAAGGTTGTTTCACCGAGTACATTACGTGATTTAGAATGGGCTACTCAAACGTGTACACTTGGCTGGGAAGTGGCTGGTATCTGGCCACCAGATTCCGATGGAACTGACGTTAACGCTTGCGCGCATAGTCCAACAGCTGATATTCTAGCCACTGGAGATGACTATGGCAAAGTTAAACTATTCACCTATCCAACTAATAAACCAAAGGTAGGAAGAATTTTCTTTCTTTTCTTCAAAAGAAACGTTTATTTTCAAGATTATTGTTTTTATTGCACGTTAAACCACGGATTGATATCAGTTAGAGAAAGAGAGCCCTTGAAAACCCAACAGAGAGTAGTGGACAGCTGTTTCATCCTGGTGTGGCTCGGGACTCATCGGCAGTACGCACCCACCACCAGCCAGGGTTCGAACCTAGGACCTTCCGGTTACAAGGCAAGCTGGCTCGTATATTATTCAGCCACTGGGACCCCTATTCAATGACCAGCCCATGAATTATAACTTCCACCGATTCGTGATTTTAGCACGACTGGCACCACCCAATGTCATCGGCGGGAACTTTATCCTCACTTCCGACAGGATAGACCCCACTGGTCACGACTTCTCACCAGAACTCACTCCAAGCAACTTCGTCCTGTAGAAGCCAGTCACTAGCTCTTAAATCGCGAATCGGTAGGAGTTAGAATTCATGGGCTGGTCATTGAATAGGGATCCCAGTGACTGAATAGTGTACAAGCCAGCTTGCCTTGTAACCAGAAGGTCCTGAGTTGGAAACCTAGTGGGTGCTCACTGTCGGCGAGTCTCGAGCACTCGGACGAAACAGCTGTCCAGTACTCCCTTGGGCTGGTTTCCAATGGTTCTTTAACTGAGATATCAGTCCGTGTTGTAACCTGAAAGAAAGAGGATCCCTACAAACTAATTCTTGAAAACTATTATTGTTATTGTTAAATATTCCTTTTTTGTATCCATCCAGTCAGTTAACTGTAGTGTGTATCACGAATTGAAAAAGTTACAATTCAGGACTCAATGAATTTCTGCCCAAAAAATAGCTGAATGGTTAACGAACTTAGTCTCATAATCTGAAGGTCCCTGGTGTGGAATCGTGAGTGTACACTGCTGAAGAAGGGTCGCAAAGACACGATGAAATAACTGTCTAGTGCTGTCTGATTTTCAATGATCTCTCTAACAAAGGGAAGTTAGCGAATCTTAAATGACGAAAGAGAACTGAACAGTTGTTAAGTTGTATGTATCCTGAGATAGTCGAGGATTATGTACCAAAGACTGAGCAGCAAGAGATTGAGTCTAGGAGTATTATGCTTGACTTCGCCGATGATATATGTCTGATTTCCCACAAACTGGAAGATATGCAAGCGAAAAGCAACAAGTATCCAGTGAAGATAGGACTTCTTTCAGGTGAACATAGAGGAAACAGATGTAGGTGATGAAAATTCCTGGGCAACACCACCAACAGCAGCAACAACAACAACAGACAGCAATCAGCATAAATGGAAGGAAGCTGAAAGAAAAAACCTATTTTACCTACTTGGGAAGCATCGTTTCAACTACAGGCGGAACCGACGAGGATATCAAAGCAAGAATCGGAAAAGCAAGACAAGCTTTCACTACTCTCAAGTCTGTGTGGAGGTCAACAGCACTCAGCATCAAAATCAGAATAAGATCCGGATTTTCATCTCCAATGTGAAGTCAGTGCTACTATACGGATCAGATATTTGGCCAGCGCGTCATAAAGAGCACATCAAACAAACTGTAGACCTTCATTAACAGTTGTCTTCGCTCAATACTTAAGATCAGATGGCCGGGCAGAAAAGATCAGCGACAGAGGTCTCTGGGAGCGAACCAACCAGCCAGGAACCGATTGTGCAACAAATAGGCAGGAAGAAATGGAGATGGATTGGCCATACTCTGAGGAAACCATCAAGTGACATCACTAGACAAGCCATTGCTCGAGTGGAACCCGAAAGGGAAGCGGCGAGTTGGTCGTCAGTGCAAGGGTGAGGGTGACTTGGAGGAGGTGATGTGAAGAGGAGATGAAAGCATGTGGGCAGACTTGGAGCCAGGTGAAGACTGTGGCAGAGAACCGAACGCAATGGAGACGCGCCGCTGCAGCCCTATGTTCCTCTAGGAATTAAAGGAAACACTACTTAATCGAATCTACTCCTGCCAATTTACGTGGTATCATTTTTTCGTTGATGATTTTCCCAGCACCTATCGTTTCAAGTGCCAGTGTATTATCCATTGGTCTACTAAGCCACGAAAGTTACCTCTTGTGTAACTGAGTGTTGTGTTGTTATTTGTTTCATTTACTTTGTATTTCCCGCTAGTTGATTTAAATTGGACTGACTTACTTTTGGTCTATGTTGATATATCTCAGTAGGAACATTATCGCCCACTGGGGATGCAGGTGTACATCCAGATGACGAGTCCCAGGTACGACGAAATACTCATTCTAGATTCGACTGCTAATCACCATCAACCTAAATAAAACATCATGTTAGCCTTCAGATATTGTCGAAGTGTCCGTACAAGGAGCTGATATGTCACGAGAGACCGGGAACTTCGGTCCAATACAAACCAGTCAACATGGAAATGAGAATTAACTTTAAAAAAATTGCACCATTCAATTTATAAGTTAATTGGTGGATGGTGACTAGCAGTGGAATCCAGCCAGGATACGCATTTTGTCCTGCATTCCGCAGTGAGTGATGATGTTCCCAACGAGGCTCGAACTGGGGAATGCAGGTACATCCGCCGGATGACGAGTCCTGAATAGGACGAAATGCACATCCTGGCTGGATTCCACTGCTAGTCACCATCCACCAATTAATTAGCTTCTAATTACATGCCCAGACATCGTCGAAACATCTGCACAAGAAGCCGACAAACATGTCAACCTGAGACCGAGAACTTCAGTCCAATCAATCGACGGGAAAATCTCAAATTCAATTAAACCATTCAATTTATGTTTATTGGAAAAGTCATTGTCTAATTATTAGTAGTCAAAAATAATTATAACTGCATTATTGATAAATCACATAGTGTTATACAGTAATATTAACTGATGACGTTTCGAGCACAAACTATTGCTCATAATAATATCAACTCTTGAAAATTGATCTGATGCTCGCTAGTGACTTGTTACTGCACGGCGTTTCCTGGAATGAGTTCTAATGAGAAGTCGTGACCACTGAGTTCCATCCAGTCAAGTGTGTGAGGATGGATTTACCTCCGATGACATTGGTTGGTGCTAGTCGTGCTAAAATCACGAATTGGAAGAAGTTGTAATTCATGGACTGGTCGTTGAATGGAGTCCCAGTGGCTTGTCTTGTGACCGGAAAGTCCTAGGTTCGAACCCTGACTGGTGGCAGGTGCGTACTGTCGATGAATCCCGAGCCACGCCAGGATGAAACAGCTGTCCAGTACTCTCTTTAACTGATATCAATCCGTGATCAACTCGTGAATATATATATGCATATATGTTTATCCTAAACCTTAATGTATTTTAATTGACCTCTTTTTTAGGCAGAATTTCGCGCCTATAATGGTCATTCAAGCCATGTAACAAATGTCACCTTCTTATACGATGGATCAAGGCTAATATCTATCGGTGGCAAGGATACAGCTGTACTACAATGGGAAGTATGCATTTGATTGATGATGTTGGGTGATGCTGATGAAGTCCACTGAAGTCTGCGTATTCATTCATTCACATTACAAAAAAATAAAAATAAAATTAAAAATTTATAGTATTATTTTAGTAGCATTATTAATATCGTCGTCGTCGTCGCCGTCGCCGCCGTTGTCAACAGCATGATCATATCAGTAATTCTACTGTGCGTCTATTTGCTTCTTTTTTTGTTTCTTTCTTTTATTTTGTCTATTTGGTGGAAGTACACACAATAATGCCCGTTAGGCATTCATAATAACTGTGAAAAGCCTTCTTCTAGTTGTGTTCATCACATGCACACACACACAAACAAACAAACAAACCCCATACTTGTCTTCTCTCTCTATCTTTTATGTAATTATTATTGTTGCTTTCAACACACAGTGGAATTGATGCATTTGTGCAATGAGTACTTTGAGATATTGGACACTAGTGTTCTCTTGTGTTGTATTGTGTTGTGTTGTGATGTCTTGTCTATTCCACTAAAAATGATTTGATTTGTCAAATGCGCCTAAACAACAAAACAACACGGTTGACGTAGTTCAATAATTAACTCACTCTTACGCGTGTGTGTGTGTGTGTAGCTTCACGCGTCTACATATATACCTCAGTGTTTTCCTTCCTTGTCGTTGTTGTACCGTGTTTTCGATCCTTCTCTTCTCCTTCTCCTCGTCCGCCTCTTCCGCCTCCCTCCCTCTATTTGTCTATCTCTTGATCTCCCTCTGAGATGTGATGTTGTTTTTTAATTCAGAAAACCAAAAATTACCTAGAGGAGATAGAAGATGGATCGATAGATATCGAACAGTTTTGTTCTATTGTGGTTTTAAACTTCTATATATACTATTTCTATATCCCAATAATAGTTAGTATATGCATATATATACACATATACAATAGAAGAGAGACATATATATATATATATATATATATAATAACTTTGAGATTTATTTGAAACTGAACAGTACTCATTATCTCGCTAGTACTGCTACCACTACTACTACTCTCCCTACTCATATACATGAAATTGTTGGGCTTTTATTATTTCGTTTCATTTGAGGATGAAAAAAACAAACATTTTCGTTTTCCCAACTGTCCTCCCTTTGTTTGCGGGGCTGGGCTGGGCGGCACGGGGCGGGGAGCAACTGTTATTATCACTGTTCTCATTATTGTTACCGTGGTGTATTTCATCTTTACTGCACATTTTGTGTATACAAGTCGGTCCAATAATGATATGTTATATAATGTCAAAGATACTTTATGCAGATATGTTGTATTCCTTCCTTTTGACGTGTCTACATTGTCTTAAGTGTTGACATCGCTGTGTGATGAATCCATCATCGTCATCATGGCTGATTATTGTTCTTGTAGACTCTCTTCAATCACTTTCGTTATTTCATTTGTGATGAATTCTGTCTGTGTTAAAAGACAAACAAGCGAGCTAGTGACCAGGCGCACAAAAGCAAAGTCCATTACTAATCTAACTAATTAGCTAACTTGCTAATCGATATAATCAGTGTATTATCATTGAACTGTGGTGAGATATACTCCATACAAGCTCTTTGCTTTATTTTTCTGCCTTATTGTCTAAGAACATTTGTGAATTTAGGTGTATACGCACAAAAATTAATGCATATATATATTATTACTCAATTATTTTGTTTTATATTCTGCTTTCTTCATGTGGAGGCTTGTTAATAGTCGGGTATTCTTCCGCTGTCTTTTATTATCTCTTCTGTGTATGCCTTCTTTCTCCCCCGCCGCCACTGCCACCGGCGTCGCCGTATCCACCACCTCCACCCCAGTCCCCGTCCGACCGCCTGCCCTCTGTATTATTATTGCAGATAAATCATGTTTTAATTTGGTTTACAAAGACATAATAAAATGGCTTCGGTTTTTTGGGGGGCAAGTTTCGTTTTGTTTCAGTCTTTGCTTTGCTATGGTATGGTATGGTTTGGTTTGGTTTCTGCGCCTTCACTTCTTTTACTCATTCAATTTCTCAGTTGGGTTATGCTTTTATGCTATGCTCTGCTCTGTTCTGCTTTAATTATAAACAAATAAACTGTGGTATATTATTATTATTATATTGTTACTAAATTTTATCAGAAATAATAAAATATACAATTTATTTTTAGTGAGTTCCTTTGTGTCCGTGTTTCTGTGTGACCGACTGACTGACTAAATAACTGATGGATTGGATTTTTAACGTAGAACTTTTCAAAGACGTTCTGCAGTTCACCTTGCCATACTCCACATTAGTCATACAAAGGTAGAGTTAGAGAGAGAGGAAGAGGGACAAAGGACGAATTCCGAAGAACATTGGTGCTTCGGTGGTAGGATATTCGCTGACCACTCCACACGTGTTCTAGGGACTCATCAGTCCGCTCCGTCCTCCTTTATGGCTGTGGACGAGACAAGGTCATTGAGAGTGGAAGACATGAAAAGATTAGCTGTCTTTAATCATAGGTGTCTGTTTTCTATCTCCCGTGAGAAGTGGCATAATAAGGTGAGCAATATTGAGGTTAGGCGTCGTTCGAGTGTTAGGTAAGGAAGGAGGGGAAATCAATCGACGTGGTTGTGGAATTACATCGACTGAGACGGTTGGGACATGTGCTACGTATGCCTAGTCATCGCCTTCCTCGACTGACGGGCAATGTTAGCTGATATAGGGTCAGGCTGGAAAAGAGCTAGTGGCGGTCTAACCAAAACATGGCATCAGTCAGTGAAATCCACAACAGTTAGTTTAAGCCACGTAGGAAGGTGTAGACTTCCTGTTTAAGGTCATTGGGACGGTAAAAACCAATGGTTGCAACCATTGGTGACATGGCTCAAAATCGTTCTCAATGGCGCAGATGCATCCACTCCTTGTGACTTATGATTCCCAGTGAAACTATATTGTTTTACGTTATTACTATTCTTTTTGTCTCATATCCCTGTCTTCTGTCTCTATTATGCATTTCTCCTACTTTCTTCTCTTGCCTTGTGTTCTACATGGAATGTGGCGACTTGAACTGCAGCACATATGTGCAAAGTTCTATGTCGAAATCAGAGAGACAGCCGTGTTCTAGGGTCTGATTCCCTCCCGGCCACTGCACTCCGAAACTTCACCTAGTCGGTAGTTTGCTCAATAATTAAGAAGAGAATAATAAAAAGACATTTTCAGCGATGAATATTTTCTTTTCGACGAAGACACTGTCAACTAGGTGGCGGTACATTCCTGTATTTTTATAATAAATGGGTGGGAAAGTTCCAGAATAATTTCAGGTTAAGGGTCAATTGGGAATTAAAATGCCATAATAAAACAGGGGGTGCGGGGCGGATAAAACTCAAACAAAGTAGCATCATAATTACTGAGAAGATTGACATATTGTGCAATTGGGGGTTATAAGTGTAGAAATAACAGAAATAGACAAGATGTTTTGACAAAAAATCTAGTGGGATCATAACTAATGTGACGAATAATTGTTTATGCAGTTAGGGATTAAATATGTAGAAATAATAAAATGACAAAATAGACAGGAAGTTTGGATATGAAAATATGATAGTGTAAATAGGGATTAAGAAAAACTTAAAAATAACATGAATAAACAAGAAGTTTGGATTAGAAGGGAAATGGGATAGTCACTATTAGAAGAATTACCTGTTTATGATGGTCATGACAACGACAAGGGTTGGACGTATTTCTTTTAGGTACATAGCGTGGGTTTGAGCTTTTGGATGGCTAGTGCCTCGACTATGCCCAGATGTCTTGATTTTACTCCCTTTGATAGGTTTCTGGAATGGTTCTGAATGTCCTGAATTGACCAGATATTCTGTCAATGAGCTGTATACACGTTTTCGTCCTCCTTTTACTAGTCAGACTGGACAGTGCTCACGAGCGCATTTTTTACGGCCGATATACTCAGCTCCACACGAGCAAGTAAACTTGTGTATGCACATTGAAGTGGCCTAATGCAACGGCTTGTCTTTCGCGTTCTGGCTGAACAACTTCTTGCAGGGAAAAATCAGTTGTAGGCTTGTGGCGAAGTATTTTTTCCTCAGAGATTTGCAGAGGCGAAGGATTTCTGCTTCGATGTCACCTTTGAATTCCTGATTAAGCAGAGGTATCTTCGTGACGGATTGGACTTGTTCAGAAGTCTTCTTCTATTTGAGATTCTTGTCTATGAACCTAGGTGGAAAACCGTTTTCCATCAGGGATCCTCGGAGATTACGCAGTTCTTCCTCAATCACTTCCTCGCTGCATATCTTCCGAACCCTCGAGGAAAGAGTGTATATAAGGTTCCTCTTTCTGCTTAGGGGCACGAAGTTTTTGAAAGTTGATGAACTGTCCATTCCATGTAGGCTTTTTGTATATGGACCTTTTCAGAGAGTTGCCGGCGTTTCTTGTCAGATGGACGTCGAGGAAGTAGAACATTCCGTCGGATTCGGCTTCAAGAGTAAAGTCGATGTTTTGGTGGGCATTGTTGAAGGTTTGAAGTAGGTTTTCAAGGTGCAGGTTCTCATTACAAATGATGAAAGTATCATCAATGTATCTCTTGTAAAGATGGAGATCAGTGATGGTCGATGATAAGTTGTTTTCGAGGCTGGCCATAAAACAGTCGGCCAAGAGGGGACCCAGTGGAGAGCCCATTGCTACACAATCTGTTCGCCTGTAGATTTCATTGTTGAATCTAAAGTAGACGTTGAAAGTACAACGTGTTAACAGCTCCTTTAGATAATGTATCGGTATGCTGACATCTATACTATTTTGATTTGACACTAGTAACTAGTGTGATGCGTCTAGTCCTCTCTTTGGTGCAGACTGAATTCTATCAGTCAGGTTGTAATGTGGCCACCATTCTAGGTAGCTCGCCATCACTAGCACGAAACCTAGGTCCAAGGCTTCCTGCCGATTGCCTCCAACCACCTAATATCATCACAAACTATGTACACCGTGATGGCGAGCTACCTAGAATGGTGGCCACATTACAACCTGACTGATAGAATTCAGTCTGCACCAAAGAGAGGACTAGACGCATCACACTAGTTACTAGTGTCAAATCAGAATATCCACTACAGTCCTACAGGAGGTCAATCGCGAGCCCAAATAGCTCAGTGGTAACGTCTCTGACTGGATCACTGGGTGACGCGGGTTCGAATCTCAGAAGGGACATGAGTTCCTTCAAGGTTGCAGATACGCCTTGCCGAGGAGTGCCAATTAGCACGAAACCTAGGTCCAAGGCTTCCTGCCGATTGCCTCCAACCACCTAATGACATCTATACTGTTGGATCGGATGAAGTCACACAGAAAACATATGGTTTCTGTCAGTGAAACATTGGTGAAGAGAGAGACGACGTCTAGGGAGACCATTTTTTATCTGTGAGGTTGACGCTTTTAAATGAATCGACGGAATCGAATGTATCGCAGAGGTTATATCTCGACAGCTTTTCTTTCGCTGTTCCAAGAATTTCTACCATCCATTTTTCGATTAGGTGATATGGCGAACCTCCTTCTTGTGCACTTTTGGTAGTCCTTACATTCGTGGCGATATAGAACCAGATGGGCGAAGTTGTTCATATAGTTCTATATCAATAACTGATTCGTCTTTCTTTTTTTTCAATAATTTGGTTAGCTGGAGCTCCGTCTGTTCACAGTTGGATCTTTTTGGATAGTCTGTTTTTGAAATTTGTTGTCATCAGATAGAATTAGCAAGAATTTCTTCACATAGTCTGACTTGTTGAGCAGAACAATTCCAGAAGCTTTGTCTGGTCGAGTTATTATCAGGTTTTCATTTGATTTCAATTCTTTGGGTTGCTTTCGATGTTTTCTTTTGAGAGTATATTGTGAAGCCTAGGTTTTTTGTTGATGTAGTCGAGGCAGCAATTCAAAACAGTTGAAGAAGAGAGTTTTGGGTGTATGGCTAAGAAACTTCACTCCATAAAAAGAAGAAACACCGTCACCTCTACTGAAACTCTGAAGCTGAAGCTTGAAGCCACTGTGTTCCACTAGGAATGCAAACAGAATGATGAATAATTACTTCAAGAATCATGGTGACTTGATGGATCTAAGAGATTACAACGATTGAATGTATCTGCGGTATTGATAAAGACTTTTAGCCATATGACCAACTCTCTCAA